ACAACATACACATATACATACACATACATACACACACACACACACACACACACACCTATTCTTAAGTTCGAAAGTACAACCTGCTCAGTTGGTATAACGTTACTTCTGCCTGCACTCTTTCTTATTGCATGGGCACCCATGAATGTGTTTTGCTTTCTTAAGCCAAGCCTTATTAAGGAAATAATGAAAATTAAGAGCTTAGATAAAAATATGCTGGAAGTCAGAGTGTTTCTGGAAAATGCAAAGGAAGGATGGGAAGTGAATCCGCGGTGCTGTGAAGCTGGCGTGCAAGCATAAGGACCGGAGTTTGGACCCCCAGCAGCCTTGTATTATCCCAGTGCTGAGGAGGTAGAGACAGGAGGATTCCCAGGGCTTGCTGGCCAGTCAGTCCAGCCAAAGTGGTGACAACTGCTCATCTCTGTAAACACACACACACACACACACACACACACACACACACACGAAGCCTACAACTTCATGGATTGGCTTATATCACCTATACATTGCATATAACATAAATTAAGATCAGCAAACTATACTTTCAGAGCTGGTACTTTTGGTTTAACAGACGCTGAGATGAATGACAGCCCTGGCAGGTATGGCTCTCTGAATCCAGTAGGAGAAACCAAAACAAACCCGGCACCTTGCAGGCTTCGTGAGACCTTTAGTGGTGTGTTACGTAAAGTGCTTGGGCACAGGATGAGTAATATATCCTCATTGTTGGCTTTCATGAGGCACTTGCCAGAACGCAAGGGCAGACAGACACAGAGGCTCTGTTAGCTTATTAATGGTGTCACTACATCAATGTAACCGTTATGGATTTCTCCCGATCTTTAAGTCAGCATCCAGGAATTTCCTGTAATGAGAATCCCGGTCCTGTAATTTTACGTAAGTGCTCATCTTTAATGCTTCTCCCATCTCCTGCAGGCACAAGACAATTGACTTCAAGATAGAAAAAGCTGTTGCTTGTGCTATTTCTAGTTTTAGATGACGTAGAGACAGCTGATTCCGTTAATCTTAGGTTTCCTGTCCAGTGCGTTTTGGAGAATGCACACTCCTGTCGTCCACCCATTATAAGGCTTAGGACATGCTAGGTGGTGGCACACACCCTGATCCCAGCACGTGGGAGGCAGAGGCAGGGAGATCTCTGAGTTTGAGGCCAGCCTGGTCTACAGAGCAAGTTACAGGATGGCCAGGGTTACACAGAGAAACCCTGTCTCAACAAAACAAAACAAAACAAAACAAAACAAAACTACTTTGGACACATCTTTCATCAACCTAAATCATTAGCTGGCCATCCACCCATTCATCTGTCCACGCATTTGTCTGTCCATCTACCACGCTCACACATATTACAAAAAGGGGATGGGTTAAAGTGGCTTACCCCACAGGGATGAGTAGTTCAACAAGGACCCTCTGCGTGACAGCCTTCAGTGGCTTCTCAGTTCATGAGACTGGGATGTTCAGCAGATCCAATCTGGCGCTACAGGCCTGGTTGACTCCGGGAGAACTGTCAGCCACCAGTCTACACTGGAAAGCCAAGAAGCTGTGTTCTGATGTCCATGAAGGATGTCAGAAGGTGGCAGCGACAGCCACAATGGTCCATGTTCAGGAAATGAAAGAAGGCCAGCAACACTTTTTTCCCCTGGGATCTCTTTGTGTCTGGGCTACTTGTTGGAAGATGTCACCCACTCTAAGGCTCCCTGCCTCAGTTAATCCTTATTAGAGACACTCCTACACATGTCCAGAAGTAGTATGTTCACATCACGTGGGTGTGTGTGCAAGTGTGCCTGTCTGTGTGCACGGAGACCACATGATGATGCTGGATGTCTTCTTCAGTATCTGCCTTATTTTTTGAGTCTCTCTCTCTCTCTCTCTCTCTCTCTCTCTCTCTCTCTCTCTCCCCCTCCCCCTCTCCCTCTCCCTCTCCCTTTCCCTCTTCTTCTCCCTCTCTCTCACTGAGCTTGGAGCTCATTACTTTGGCTGGACTGGTCTGCAAGCCACAGGCATCTCTGCTTCCACCTCCCCAGCTCTGGGATTATCTGAGCATGTTGCCATGACTGCCGTTTTCACCTAGGGTTGCTAAGGATCCGAAGTCAGGTCCTCATGGTTGTGAGCAGGTGCTTACTGAGCCATCTCCATAACTTCATGGACCCACTTTCTGGGTTATTTCTTCAAAGATGACACTTTGCTTGACTTTGAGTACATTTTTTTTCCCTTTTGGAGAGAAGTGATTTTCCAGGATGTTTAAATGTCTATAACATCAATCAGGATGTATGGAAGGTAGATCCATCCATCCCTCCTCAGCAGCATCCATCCATCCCTCCTCAGCAGCATCCATCCATCCCTCCTCAGCAGCATCCATCCATCCCTCCTCAGCAGCATCCATCCCTCCTCAGCAGCATCCATCCCTCCTCAGCAGCATCCCTCCCTCCTCAGCATCCATCCATCACTCCTCAGCAGCATCCATCTCTCCTCAGCATCCATCCATCCCTCCTCAGCATCCATCCATCTCTCCTCAGCAGCATCCATCACTCCTCAGCAGCATCCATCACTCCTCAGCAGCATCCATCACTCCTCAGCAGCATCCATCCATCCCTCCTCAGCAGCATCCATCCATCCCTCCTCAGCAGCATCCATCCATTCTCAGCAGCATCCATCCCTCCCTCCTCAGCAGCATCCATCCCTCCTCAGCAACATCTATCCATCCTCTCCTCAGCAGTGGGTCAGCGAGTGGAATGTCAGTGGAGTGATTCTAAAGTGATACAAGAAGTTACTGACTTGGATCAGGGACGTGGGAAACATCAGTGGAGTGGAAAAATCATTACTTTTGTTCACAGAATTTTAAAATGTGGGTTTCAGTAGCACATCATGGTAGAGATGTCATCCTAAGGCAATGACTCTTAAAGGGTTGTGATCAGTATAAAACACAGGGACCATATGGCAATGGCACTCAGTGGGTCTGTGGACATGGAGCTAAAAGGAGAGATCTTGATTACATAGAATACAGAAACCATGAGGCTATGACAGACAGGGTTATGGGCATAAAGGGCAGGATCTGGGGAAAGGGTGTGCTAAGCTTGTTGTTTGTTTTTTTAAGTAGATGTAAATGTAAACCAAAAATCTTTTTGTTCAAAGATATAAGTAATGCATGTACAATAAAATCACTACAAGGATATCACTACTTGGCTAATAATGGCAAATTATTTTAGAAATCGCTAGACATGAGATTAGGAAGAATTATGCAGACGTCCATCTTAGCAAGGCGCTATAATTTCTTATTGCTCGGTGCCTGGACTTACACAGGAAAACGTGTTTTTTTTTTTTTACGTGTTTGGATACACTCCAAGGGTAAACGAAACACAAAGAAGCTTGTTGCTGTTGTGACAGGAGGTTTAAAAGGAAGTCTCCTTTACCCCCAAGAGACAATGAAACCGGAAGCGATGCTAAATTGGCTTAGAAAGAGTGGGCCTACCGGAGTGGGCGTGGTCCTCTGCGGCTTGAAGGAGACACTGTTTCAAAACTGCAGAGAGGAAATGGACTCTCAGCTCAGTGTTATGCTAGTAAGATTTTGCTTTCTTTTCAGGAAAAACAAAAGTACAGGTGTGAAACAGAAGAGGCTGTTGTTGTTAGGCAGGATCATATCATGTTAACTCTGTCCCGCCTGGAACGTGTATATAGACAGAAACTCGAATTCACAGAGCTCTACCTGCCTCTTACCTCCAGAGTGCTGGAAGTAAAAGCCTCCGCCACCTAGTCCAATGGATGAGATAGTTATTTTAGATGTTAGTTATTTATTAATTTAGTTTACTTTTGAAACAAGGTCTCTAGCCCGACTGACCTGGAATTTACTTTGTAGGCAAGGATAACCTTGAACTTGTGATCCCCCTTGCCTCAACTTCCCAAGTTCTGGAACTAGAAGCTTAAGACACTATCTATGCCTGCTGGTTTACATGAGGCTGGAGGATCTAAGTCAAGGGCTTTATGCGCATCTCCCAAGCATCCTACCAATTAAGCTACATTCCCAGCCCTTAAGCAACGTATTTAACAGCTTGAAGCCCTTGGATATCTTTAAGTCTTCCTAATATTTTCCATGCCATTGCATTAAAAAACAAAGCAAAAATCTAGTCCACGTGATCTGCAAAGTGGGAAACAGTATTCAGGGCTCTGGCATTCCCTGCTCAGATATCAATATAAGAATATTTTTGCTTTGTTGCTATTATTATATTAGGGCGGATTTGGTTTTTTGTTTTTTTGTTTTGTTTTTTTGGTCTGTTTTTGGGGTAGGGTCTCATGAAGTCTTGAACTTGCTAGTAGCATGGGATGAGTTTGAACGCCTGCCTCCACCTCCCAAGTGCTGGGATTAAAGGCCTGCACCACCAACCTGGGTTCGGTTTATCAATTTTTTTCTGACACGTTTTCTTGTGTGTGTATGTCAATGTCAGAGAACAACCTGCTTGAGTTGGTTCTCTCTTTCAATCATGTAGGTTAGGTCCTGGGGGATTGAACTCAGCTTGCCAGGCTCTGGGCCATCCTGGGAACCCCCATTCTTTTCTATTAATTTTTAAAGGGAAGATAAATAAAGCGATACATTTCACGACCACTCCTCCCTCTCTTCCATCCCTCAGTAGCCTCGGGTGCTTTCCTGCGGACTCAGATGAAACATGCCTGTTTGCTGTTGGGGCATCATCAGAACCACTGATCTCTGACTTTAGGAGCCAGGCACTGTGACACAAGCTACAACACCAGCGTCACGGAGCAGAGCTGGCAGCCGAGGACCCTGGTCCAGCAACAGCCTGCAGGCCGCCCAGCAAAATACACGGCGGGGGCCTGCGGCTACAGCGCGGCTCAGCAACATCCACTCCCGACCAAGCCCGCTCCGCCTAGCCGCAGGCTCCGCCCCCTCCTCAGCCCCGCCCACCGAACGGTGGGGGACGCACGCCGCCTCCCGTCTGCCCCGCCTCCTGCCGCAGACCGGAAGTCCGGGCTTCCCACAGTGCCCCGCGCCGCGGCGGGCATGATAGCAAGCTCCCGGAGATCCCACGCTGCTGTTTTACTTGTGTGTAGGCGCCGTGGTGCGTGAGACGAACAGGACGGCGCCGGCCCAACAGTCTCCGGCCCGAGCGATGGCGCTGTTCCGGGGAATGTGGGGCGTGCTAAGAGCACTGGGGTGCGCGGGGGTCGAGATGTGCGCGGGCTGCGGGGGCAGGATACCCTCGCATATCAGGTAGGCCGCAGGCGAGGGACGCTGGTCGTCCGTCATCCGTCTGTTCTCGTTCCACCCGAGTCCTCCGAGCCGCCTGGGGTCTCGTGCCTTTTGGTACCCGACCCCACTTCCTGTCTCCTTCTACCATTCGGCGCCTAGGGCTCTCTCCTTCCTTCTGCCTTGGAGGCGGGGCCTGGAGTTGTGGCGCGCCGAACGCTCGCCCCTACTCTGTCCTGGCTGTCAGGACTTTGTGCCGTAGCCCTGCAGTCTCCTCTTTGGTTTGACTGGGTCATCCAGGATGCCAGGACTTGCTTCAACCTTGCAGACCCCTCTTTGCTTTAGCTAGGTCACCCAAGCCTGCCCTGTTTGCAGGCTTCACCCCTGCAGCCTTTTATTTATTTATTTATTTATTTTGGTTAAGGTCAGGGTGTTAAAAGTAAGTCGGTTGTGGAGCACTTTCTAGTGTGCTTATACAACTGAAACCCTTCCATTTATTTGAATTCTTAGCACAGCAGAGGGAAGGGAAACATAATCAAAAGTTACTAGTTTTTTTTTTGTTGTTGTTGTTGATTGGTTGACTTTTTTTGTTGTTGTTTGCTTTAAAAGACTGAGTTTCTCTTCGTAGCCCTGGCTGTCCTGGAACTCGGTTAGTAGACTAGGCTGGCCTTGAATTAACACATCCACTTGCTCTGCCTCCCGAGTGCTGGGATTAAAAGCAACTGCTGGGCTAGTTATTAGTATTTTAGGTGAAAGTGTTGGATATATAGCACCTTGGCTGACTTTGTACTTAGAATCTGAGGTCTATGTTATGAATGTTACATATCTGACATTCGGTTCTTTTTACTTGTGCGCAGCCTTGTCTGTATCCCGAAGTGTTTTTCCACCTTGGATAATTATCCAAAGAAACCTATGAGTTCATACCTTCGATTTTCTACAGAACAGCTACCCAAATTTAAGGCTAAACACCCAGGTAAGGAGTTTGGGGATATATATATATATCTGCAGTCTTGATTTACACTGGCAGGGTATCTAGCAACACTCTTTTTTTATTTTTTTGGTAGTCTGTTTAACATTTTTTAACTAATAGAAGTTACTTAAATATTAATGCAAACAATAGTTTTAAAATAACATGTAGAAGGCTGGAGAGATGGCTCAGCGGTTAAGAGCACTGACTGTTCCTCTAGAGGTCCTGAGTTCAATTCCCAGCACCCACATGGTGGCTCACAACCATTTGTAATGAGATCCTATGCCCTCTCCTGGTGTGTCTGAAGACAGCTACTGTGTACTCATATACATAAACTGAATAAATCTTAAAAGAAAAAATAACATGTTGAGTGAGGAATACTATAGAGAAAAAAGATTAAGTTGAGGCCTAGTTGTCCAGGGGCATAGGACATTGTTTGTAATGTCTAAGGTGCAATAAAATAACTTACCGAGAAGTATTCTATACAATATAATAATGGTCTGTATTAATCATTAACTTCACTGGAAATTATCTAAGCTCCTGAAGCGGTTGGGGGGGGGGGGAGATTTGCAAGTAGAAAAGTTTTCCAGGAAGTCTTAAGAAAGGGTTGTAGAGCCTTCATTTGAATATATAGTATAAAGGCAGTGGCTGAATTAATAAGTTAGTCCTTATGCATTCCAAAGCTCTTTTACTTACAGTACCTCACAGATGCTAGTGAAAATCAAACTGAAGTTCTCATCTTGTAGATGGGAGATTGAGAGATGCTTATACAGGCACCCCGTCTTCTAAAATGTAAGACTTGGTACCAACACGTGGTTGATAAAGCAGTTGTATCCCCAGTTAAGAATGAGGAAGAAATGGAGATGAATGGATTAATTTTACAACACTGTTATATCCAAAGGGTATTTCTGTAACTGAAGTGCAAGATGCTATTGTTTGAGCAGCACTAGTTGGTGGTTTGAGTTTTACGAACAATAAATCTTGAAAGACGTGACAGAATATTTTAATTGAAATGAAGACATCATGAACTTGGAGCAGATGGTTACCCAAAGTGCTTATTTTACTGTAGCAGTGGGTTTCCAAGGACTGCTTTTGGTAATCCAGAACATACTTCCTAAAGCTAAATAACAGTTTTCTAGTGTTTCTTGATAAAATTATATTTGTATTGTGTAGCAACACATGTAATTAGCCTTTTAGAGCCACTGGGCTATTTTCAAAAGGTTGTAGAAGTTAACCCCTAAGAAATAAAATTTTTATTCCATTCTAATTTGTAGATGCAAAACTTTCAGAACTGGTTAGAAAAATTGCAGCCCTGTGGAGGGAGCTACCAGAAGCAGAAAAAAAGGTAAGCGTTCATGTTTTCGGCTTGCTGACAATTCTGTAGATAGGGCACGTGTTTGTTCAGTGACTAGGTAGCTCAACACTTTCTTCTTTTGGACAGACAGGGTTTTTGCTTGTGCTCATAAGCTTGCCAACTGAGTAGACTGATTGGCCAGCTAGCTCCAGGGACCCACCTGTCTCTGCCCCTCCCCACACCCATTATGAGGGTCATAAACACTGGCTGTTGCAAGCACTTGACTCACTGAGCCTCCTCAGGTACCACCTCCTCTCTTAGCAGTCCTGCCCACACAGCTAGTCTCTCCCTTTCATTTTATAAGCGATGCTGATATGAACGGGCTGAGTGCAGGTGAGTGCTTGACTACAGTCAGGAAGGAAGGCCAGTTGCTGTCCTCGCACCTTGATTATTAGCAAGCTTGTGAAAAATACATCTGAGAGCACAGCTTCACCTGGCTGGTCATCTCCCTTTATCTGAATCTAGTTGTCTTTCCCTGACAGATGTGATGGGTTGAGCTTGCCAGCAGTACCAGTTCATTGATTTTCATTTGAGGTTTTCATTCATAGGTTTATGAAGCGGATTTTAAAGCTGAATGGAAAGCATACAAAGAAGCTGTGAGCAAGTATAAAGAACAGCTAACTCCAAGTCAACTGATGGGTTTCGAGAGGGAAGCCCGGCAGAAACGTTTAAAAAAGAAAGCACTAGTGAAAAGGAGAGTGAGTATCATTGAAATACTGTTTCATTGAAATCCTGTTCCCTGTGAGGAAGAATCAACATGACCAAGAGTCTGGGTAGTCTCCCCTGTGTCAGTGACAGTAGAGGTGATGTAGCAGGGTGCTGCTGGGCACTCGGTTAGGCAAGACCTCCTAGAGGAACTGTCAGGTTTGAGTTGTCTGGAGGAACAGGATTTTAAAGGTGCTAATTCCTTCATTAGTACAGCAGAGGAAAAATGCCACTTCTACATGGAAGGAGTTTCCTTGAGGTAGGAATCTGTTTTCTTCCAAAGAAATAACTGTTAAACGTCTGTGTTGTTACCCTTTTTTTTTTGTTTTTCAACTTGTGTTAATTTTATGTCTAGGCCACTGTTTGATTCCAGTCAGGCTGACATGTTTCTTTATTTAGGGATTCTCTTAAGTTTCTATATCAAATCCATGCAGACCAGACCTTAGACATTTAATGCCCCTGCTCTCCTAATACTTCCTAAATCCCCTCCCATTTATTTTCTAAATGTGTGTGTGTGCGCACGTGTGCGCGCGCGTAATGGGGGCAGGGGTACGAGTGTGGAGGTCAGAGGGTAATTTGTGGAGTTCCTTCTGTCCTTTGACCCTTACCGGGGTTATGCAATAGACACCTTTTTCTGCTGTGCCATCTCACCTAAGTACTTTCTCAGTTCATACACTGCTACTCTTCCGAGTACAGAAAGTAAGATAGGAAAGTGCAGTGCAGTATGTATCACAGTAAATATGGAACCCACCGTAAGAGATGCTGTTTGCCCGTCCCATAGTTCCCCTTCTTGGTAGCTGACAAGAATTGAATACATCTTTTGAATTTTAAATGTTTGAGCCATGCAAGAAAGGAATGACATAAGGTTACTAAACAAACACTCCTATACTTATCAGGTTCAGTGTAAGCATGTGTAGGCTACACTATATGATGATGCCCTGCAAGGGTGAAGTGGCTTTAAAAAAGATTTTAAGAAGGTTTGATATGTAAATGCTGATTTAGTTCATGAAAGCTATAAACATAAAATGTCAAGGAGAAGCCTTTATGTATGGATAAATGCCTCATTGTATTAGTTTTTTTAAGATGTTATGCTTGAAAAATTTTGACTTCCAAGGTGTAACAAACATACTTCCTATACAAACCCACAGTGCTGTGCTGGGTGTGGTGGTACGGGCTGTGTGCCTGCACTGGGAAGTGGAGGAAAGGCTGGCTACAAGGTAGCAGAAAACAAAACAGAATCTAGTATTCACTTGCTCTGTCAGGCAGTTTCTTTAGATAGTATTAGGCTTCCTGGTGACTGTATCTGACAACTTTCATTTTTCTTAGGAATTAGTTTTGCTTGGAAAACCAAAAAGACCTCGGTCAGCATATAACATTTACGTATCTGAAAGCTTCCAGGAGGCTAAGGATGACTCAGCTCAGGTAAGCAGAGCTACAGATGGCTCTCAGGTTTGTGTGTATTTTAGTTTAAAGTCATGTAGGAAGTTGTAGATCTGTCTCATGATGGTGGAAAATAGCAAAAATAGAAAGTATTGTGTCTCTTTCCTTGGAGCTGGGTGTAAGGTTGACTAGCAGTAGGAGGTTGGTGTGCTGATGATTCTCAGCCCTGGAAAAGAAGTTCTGTTGTTATCACATGCAGCTAGGTGTGTGCCTGCCATACTTTGCCATACACACTTTGTGGGTACACACTGGGACAACTTTCAAAATCTTTCTAATTAAGTCACCCTTATGTTTTCATGGTTCATACAGACACACAACTTACTCTTTACTCTTATGAGAGGTAACATCTTTTACATTGTGAGATGTTGAGTCTTCTAGAAGCTCTACTCCATCCTCTTTTAAGTGTCAGCATCCCTGGAAAGGAAGAATGAGCTTCAGGGTTTCTTGTTTGGTTCTGGGATTGGGCGACTTAGCTCTTCTTCATGCCTTATTCTGTAACAAGACTGGTTATACCTGTGCCATGGGACTGTGCTGTGCATGTGGATGTGGTCACAACAATGTGGGGACACAAAGTGTGTCCCTCTCCCCTCAAGAGCCACAGTGGCAGCTGTGTTTCCCTTGTATAAAAAGTGCTGTCTTAAAGAAGTGCGGGTGTCCAGATCACTCAGGCACTGACTGTGCTGGCTGGGCAGGCATGGAGTTCCTAGGTCTGTCATCCGTTCCCCAGTCCTGTTACCATGCACTTACTTGTAGCATATGTTTAAAGGATGTGTGTAAGGCATGGTCTTCTCGGGCTTGTACTGGATACTTAATTGCTTTTCTTTGGGATTTTAAAATTTTATTCATTTTATCAACAGTGTATTTTTTAGTGTTGAAAACTATTTTTCCAGAATAAGATTAACTTATAAAAAAATTAGTATTCACTTCTAAAGTATTTTTCTTTAACAGAAACAGCTTTATAGACTAAAAGTTTTTCAAAAAGTTAGAATCTAGTATAAGTCAAGAAAATTGATTCTTCAGGCCATTTTCCAGGACCCTGTATTGTTGGTTTATTTTCACTTTGCAAAATGGATAGAATTTATTAGTAAATCTTTAGTCCTTCTTGTATAATTTCAAACTCTAGCATCATCTAGAATCATACTGTTAGTTCTCAAATCCTATAAAATAAATGTATATCACTCTCCAGTGTGAATTCTTTTGTTTTTTGTTTTTTTTTTTTTAAGCCGTCTGTCTCCCCCCACCCCTTATATGCAGAGTTCTGCCTGCATGCCAGAAGAAAGCACCAGGTTTTATTATAGATGGTTATAAGCTACCATGTGGTTGTGGTTGCTGGGAATTGAACTCAGGACCTCTGGAAGAGCAGCCAGTGCTCTTAACCGCTGAGCCATCTCTCCAGCCCCCATTGTGAATTCGTGTCCCTAGGAGTACACTTGTCCATAAGCATTAGTGACGAGTGCAAAGGATTGTGGTGGTGGTGGCAGCTGTCGCTATGCCAGAAGTCCTCCTTTGAACATTTTACTTTTTGTGACTCAGGGTTGCTGAAGTGGAGCCTTGCTTTTTAATCATTAGAATTTCCTCAGTCACTGATTTACTTTGGGTTTAGGTAGGTTTATGTTTTTGTTTTAAAAAGTGCTATAGGAAAGCTCTGTACTGGTGAGAACTTTAAATACAGTGCTTCTAGCATGCAGGCAGTCCCCTAGAATTACCTAGCAGCCTGAATGGACCCTGTCCTTAGTAATGGAAATATAACTTGATTATAGTTTTTTATTCTTTTATAAATACTGGCTGAATTAAGTGGGGGACTCATGTTTGTGATCCCAGTCCTTGAGAGCCCAAGGCAGGAGAAATCACGTTTTCAAGGCTAGCTTATATCACAGGGAGAATGCCAGGCTAGCAAGAGCCACATAAGAACTGCAAACACCCTGCCCAGCCTTCTAATGCCCATACACATAGACTCACACACACACATACACATGTGTACTTATGCACATGTACACTTGCACACATGTACACACAGGCCTATGATGTACTCATAGATACATGCACATAGACACAGGACATATGTATGTATCCACAGACATGAGGTGTTTGTCAGCAGTTGAATACCCCCACATGTTTATAAAAGAAGCATTACTCAAATTACCCAGTTTCATTTATGATCCTTTTTGAATCTCAGTGTTAGTCACTCAGTATAAAGAACATGTGGGAGTTACATTTCAGGTTTTACGTGTCTTAAAAACTGCCCCCCCCCCCCCGGGTTTTAAGATTAGACATATTAGACATAGAGTTCTGGTTTGGAAGTAATGCTTCTTAAGCATCTCAAAGTTACTACTGCTGTTTTGACCTCTGTGATTTCTCTGTGAGAAATACAGCCAGCACTTGGATAGTTAAGGCTAGAGGGTCGTAAACATAAAGCCATCCAGTGCTGTCCCCAAAACCACAGATTAAGAAAATAAAATCTGGGCTGATCAAAGGCATATGCAGCCAAGCCTGTCCTGAGTTTGATCCCCTGGAACTGCATGGTGGGAGGAGAAAACTGCAAGTTGTCCTGACCTTCACATGTATGCATGTATGTGCACACACAGGAAAATGTAATATTAGAAATGTTCAGATGACAAACCAGTTTGGGTTCATTTGCATGTTGCTTTCTGTTGAGACTTTCTAAGTTTGTCCTTCTCAAATCCTTGTTTGTTCTTGAACTGCCTTCCTGTAGCTCTGATCCCCAAGTCCAAGATACTCTGTGTTTTCACAGATCCCTTACCTTTTTGCAAGGTGCCCTTAATTGTGCCTGCTCTTCTCTGAGACTGTTTTGATTCTTGAAAATGTGAATGTCCTGGAATCTGCCAGAGTGAGCGTTTAAACTTTTTTTCACCTTCTCTGTGACACCTGCCTGGTGCTGTTCACTGTTCACACCTTGTGTTGGTGCTGCCCCCTTCTATTGGGTTTGTCCACGCGTGTTTATAGCTTAAACTGGAGTTTGGGGGAGTGTGCAAAACTAAACAAGTTGTCCCCTATTACTTTATGTAGACAAGGCCCAAGGGATGGAAAGTGGCCTCTTTCCCATGACACCACTTAGGTCAGCTGGCAGACTAGGTAGAATTAAGGGCTATTTGCTCTGTTCCTGTGATGGCACCTAAACACCTAGGCACAGAGTTCAGAATGACACACAGCTATAGGGAAGGAAAAACAACCTTGAAGTTAGTTCATGACGGAGTTAAATACAAGCATTTTTAATCAAAAGATACTCCTTCTCATTTTGTAAATGTAACAGTTGAGTAGAAACACGTTGTCAGTTGCTGTTGCTTGTGAATGGCAGCTGAATGTCTGGTGGGATAAATGAGGAATGTTCTCCTTTGCTGTCTTAGTTGTACATCTTAACTATCTTGTCTTACAGGGAAAATTGAAGGCTGTAAATGAGGCTTGGAAAAATCTATCTCATGAAGAAAAGCAGGTAGGTATTAGTTTCTGATTTTACATGTCCGTTTAGAGTGCCTTGGATGTGTTAGGACAAGGCTTGGCTCATAGCGTCAGTCCAGCAGCAGTGATTCAGGACTGCCTTCATTGTTAGCGCCAGCATAGCCTTTCACTCAGTAGTGTTTGTCAGTAAATAAACTGGCATTTAGTACATGGCTAGTCCCACCTGTCCTTTGCTCCTCTCCCAAGTCCTGAAACTGACAACCCACCAATCCTTGGAGAACACTTTCTCTCAACCTTTTCTCATTTAACGTTTTATATAAAAATTATTTCTGTATTCCCCCTTGGTGCATGGAGAATAGTGCTAATCATTTCCATGTAGTTGGAACCATTCCAGAGAATAATTGCTATTTTCTAAGTAAAACCTTGTCACGTTCCTTCTCAGGCGTATATTCAGCTTGCTAAAGATGATAGAATTCGTTACGACAATGAGATGAAGTCTTGGGAAGAGCAAATGGCTGAAGTTGGACGAAGTGATCTCATCCGTCGCAGTGTGAAACGATTAGGAGACATCTCTGAGAATTAAGATAGAGGACGGAGTTGTCCTTGGAGTTAGGCACAAGAAACCAGTTAGGTCTCAAAGCCTTAAATTGTCACACTAGCAAGGATAAAGGTGGTTAACCTTTGACATTCAGTTCGTTTTTCTGTAGCCCATGGACTTCTGCCATTTCTGCCCGTTGAATGCATTTCTGTTAATGTTTTGAGCCTTGACAGTAGAAGATCGTGCTGAGTTCTGCCTTTTGCTTAAGAACTGGACTGGAGACTGTCCATGCATCCACATGCAGTGGTGAGTCATTCTGTTCGAGGGAGTAGATAGACTGTGACGGGACTTTCATACTGGTGACAGGTGCGTGTGGTTTTGTGAAGTTTTTACACTGATGACCATTACATATGGGTGTGTCCCCTTGTGTCCCAGGCCCACAGCTGCTCTCACGGCTGTGGCAGAGCTTTGAATAATTGCATTTTCAAAGAAGCTTCCAGGCTTTACTAGATGAAGTGATTCCGAGACATAGATCATGTGCAGAGCTGATGTTTGTACATAAGAAGTGATTGCTGATGTCCTGATAGCGTTTTATAGTAGGAATGGGGAGAGTCACAAAGCTTTCTCAAATTAAGAAATTATGTACCAAGTCTATGCATATGTTTTTATTGCATAGAATAAAAACTCTAATTTTTCAAACATGTTTCTGAATTACGTATTTTAAGATGAACCATTTGGGAAAAGTTTTTTCTTTTTAAATTTAGGTAGGGACTTGATTTTTATGAATTACTTTTCATTTGAGAGTATTCATAGAGCTTGTGTGGTATACATTTTTAAATGAGAAAATGTGAAAATCGAGTGTCCAGAGTCAGAAATCTGAGATTATCCATGACAGCTAAAGGCCTGTGTAGGAGAAAGCCAACTGTGTTGCACTGGCCAAGTCCAGCCCACTGGCTAACTGCTTTTCAGGGCTTATTCATCAAGAAATGTAATGATGTTCTAAATTGGTTTTTTAAAGGGAAAGTATCAATGTGAAAATTATTATGACCTTTAGTGTTTCTGAATAGAATTTCTTGGAACACAACCACATGCTTTCTTGGGTTTGTTGTGTGTGGGTGCTCTGTGCTCCAGAGACGACACTGGGAAGCCACAGCGGACAGGGATGGCCCTTTGTAGACAGTTTGCCACCATGGTTTGTAGCATGGGTGTTTCATGGCTGCTGGGCATACAAGGCTGTTTTCCTCAGATGTCCTTAATGTTTTTGTGATGCTGTCACCATATCTTGGGGTCATCGCTGGCTCCCTATATGCCTAACTATTCTCGGTGTTAGCAAAGAAAATATTCTTTAGCCTGGAGTACTGGTATAGCACAGTACAGAAGGCCGCTGTATGGAGTGAAGCCCTCCTAATCTTTACTGTTGCACAGGAGAAAGTGTCTTCCCCACTTTGAGATGGCACATCCCACAAGCCCTTGCCAAGCCAGAGCCAACACTCTTTAGTATCTGTCTTGTAGAGAACACGGGACTTCAGCCACCGCACCACTGAGCGGATCTCAGAGACACAGGGCAACACAGAGTTCATCCCCATATATGTTAGGTATTGAGGAGGTTTAGAGATTGTTCATTAGGATAAGAAGTTTGCAGTCACTGAACTTGACCAGGTAGGAACAGAAGAACACATGGAGGAGAGATGTAAGAGTTATATGTGTAAAACGGTATTTGAGCTGGGTAGAAAACTCGCCTAGAATGTTCAAGGCCTTGGATCCAAATCCCAGAACTGCAACTCTCCCCACGAGATAATCAGAATTTTGAAGATAAATTTTTAAGAAACGGTAATTTTTCCCATGGATTGGAATTCAGGCCTGTAGCAGGCATAGTGTGACGATGGTGGACGGAGGCCAGCATGAGCTGGTCTTAGTCTTTCCGAAGTGCAATTGCAGGAGAGACGTGAGCTCTGCTCTCCCATGGTCTCTGGAAAGGAACTCCATGCTGTCCTTAGAACGGAGAAAATGGAGACTCAGAGCATTGACCATGTGCTTCAGAGCTTCTCAGGAGCAGCAAGCACTACAGAGATACAGTGATACGGAGATGCCCAGAACTCTAAGCTCATAACCACTTAGCCCCACTCATAGCTTCCCAGGCACAGTGGAGAGTGCTCAAGACCTCGAAGCTCAGTCTAGGAAGGGAACAGGACATGTAGAGAGGCCCTGATCAAAGCCACTTCATGGTACTTGCTTGAGTTTGGTTTTCCTTGTTTGTAAAAGAAGCTTACTGTTCACACTGTAATCTGCTTTCCATGTCTTTTTTTTCCCCTAAAGACAGTCTTTCTTTCAGCACAAAGCAGTTGCCAGAGGAGCTGGGAAGGTGTTGGGAGGAGCTGAAGGCATGCAGTGGTGCTGCATTAGGTCTTTGATACTTCCTGAGAGGCTGACAAGGGCTTGGTGCTGCTTCTCCTTTCTTACTGACTGCAAACCGGCTGTCCTTTTTTCCAACTCCATTTTCAGCAGTGCTCTTAAAAATAACAAACCCTGTTTTGTCCAAGTATGTGTTTCTGAATCTAAAAGCTGGTGTTAGCATACTTTAAATGGACATAAGATAGCTAGAAAGTCTTCCCGGGTTCGCCTACACTCACTATACCACCAGGGGGCGCCGACACCACAGCTTTAATGCAGACAGAGCCATAGTGCCCATCAATTCTGAGGCCATATTATTGTAAGGATTTTCTTCCTCTGACAAGAACCCTTCTCCCAGGGTTGGTTTGTTTTTTCTTTCAAACCAGGGTTTCTCTGTATTGTCCTGGCTATCCTGTAACTCACATTGTAGGTCAGGCTTTCTTCAGACTCAGACGTGCCTGAGAAAGTGCTGAGATTAAGAGTGTGCCTCACCACCACCGTCAGGCTTCCTCCTTCCTCTTCCACATTTGCCACCAGCCTGTCACTGACAAGTTTGCAAATGCTAGAACAGTGTATGTTTTTGGAGTGTAAAGCATAACATATTTCTTTTTTTATAACTGAGTTTAAAAGATAAAATGAATGAGTGTATTTACTCTGAATTTGTAAAACTTCCTAAGCAAAAAGTAAAATTATGCACAACTGGTACCATCAATGCTTTATCATTCACAAATCAAATATTTTTGCTTTTTAACCACCGATTATATTTATTGTAAAATATATTGAACATAAAACCATTCTTTTGCATAGTTAGAAATGCTGACCAAGAAACTACATGTTTAAATTAAATGCTAAGCAAGGATTTGAAATGTGTTTTTTTAAAAAAAGAAACACCCTATCATTTAAATCAGACTCATTAGAAAGTAATTTATAATGGTTTCTGATATAAACGTGAAGTCCAAGAAGATCAAATGGTAAAACATGTATTCACACATTCCTTCTAGGTAGTAAATGGTAGAAGTTGGGGAATCTCCAGCATTCAGAATGGTCCTAATCTTAACCCTTAAGCACTGGCACGGCAAGGAAAGCCTTTGTGTCAGGTTATAGGAAGTGGAAACGGCTGGAAATACGTGAGATGATCTTCAGGTGTGGGTGTGGGTGTGTGTGGTGTGTGTGTGTGTGTGTGTGTGTGTGTGTGCGCGTGTGAATACGTGAGGTGATCTTCAGGTGTGGGTGTGTGTGGTGTGCATACAAATGATGAACTTCATTTTTAGATTTGGATTTTACCCCAAGATCTCATATATAATTTTTTTTAATTTATTTTTATTCCTTGTGTGTTAGTGTTTTGCCTACATGTATACCTGTGTGAGGATGTCAGATTCTCTGGAGCTGGAGTTACATATAGCTTCGAGCTGCCAGAAGGGGCCTGGGAATTGAACCTGGGTCCTCTAGAAGAACAAATAGTCCTCTTAACTGATGAGCCGTCTCTCTAGCTTGTAGTTTTTTTGTTTTTGTTTTTTTGGTCTTTCGAGACAGGGTTTCTCTGTATAGCCCTGGCTGTCCTGGAACTCACTCTGTAGACCAGGCTGGCCTCGAACTCAGAAATCCGCCTGCCTCTGCCTCCCAAGTGCTGGGATTAAAGGCGTGCACCACCACCGCCCGGCCTAGCTTGTAGGTTTTTAAGTTTCTAACATTTTGAAGTTTCTGTAATGTGTACTAGGGTAAGGAGCCTGTGTAATATCCTTGAATCCTCAGCTCAGCAGGGCCAAAAATCTTTGAATGGTTAAGAATTGGATTGGGCGTGTTCAAATCCTGACTACTTCCTGTGGGGTTCAACTAGAACCCTAGTCTATAAAGTAGGCGGGGATATTTCACTTCACCATCATATTTCATTGTTTGTAGGACAGAACGCCTAGCAACTTTGGGGGGAGGAAGGATTTCTTTTGCCTCGTGGTTGCAGAGATTTCAGGCCACAAGTCCTTGAATCTTTTGGTAGGTCTGTGGTGGAGGCATTTAGAGAAAGAGGCTATTTATTGTGGACAGTAGACTGGAAGCAGAGAAAAGGGATAAAGGAAGCAACTGGGGCAAGATCTAGTTCCCCAAGGAAAACCCCAGTGAGGTAACTGGCTCCACTTCCTGCACCACAAAGTAAGAGCCAAGCCTCCAGCGCAGGAGCTCTGATGGACATTTCAGATGCAAACCATTAACACCTAAAAGTAGCTAATGCCCATCTAGACAAACTGAAGCAGGCCTTTCTTTCCAGTTATATAAAGTTTACCATGACTAGCTCTCAAGTGCACTGTTGAGATATGCTTGGATGCATATGTTGCTTCCGTGAAACATTGATGTTTTCATTACAGTAGCTCTATGAAGTTTTCAGTTTTTCTTAGCTTTAAGGTTTGTGGTGTTTTGCTTGTAGTTTTGTTTTTTCAAGGCAGGGTTTCTCTGTAGCCCTGGCTGCCCTGAAACTCCCTGTAGACAAGGCTGGCCTTGAACTCAGAGTTCTGCCAGCCACTGCCTCCCAGGGGGGTTAAAGGTGTGCACGGTGCCTAGCAGCTTTAAGGTTTCTCATAGGCTATATAGCTTTAAAAGAGCTTAGGTTTCTTATTTTTAATGTTCTTTTATTTGTGTGCATGTATGCAGGTTTGTACTTATACATGTAGGTGCCCAAATGAGGCCAGAAGAGAATTGCTTTGTAAGAGCAATATGTGTTCTTAGTACTCTCTAACAGCCGAGCCAACTCTCCAGCCTGGTTCTAAATTCTGTTTCTCTAGTGGATTGTCTTTCTTTGGTATGTCAGGAATGGAGGAAGGCAATAGGTAATGCCATCTGTTTACAGAGTCACACATTTCCTCTTGCCTGATTTCTGATCCTTTTGATTTTACATTTTTCTGGGCTTGTTTTATGCCCTAACACATCTTCTGTTCTGCAATGTAATCAGGGTGCTGGCCACATGACAGCCACATGTTCCCACGTCATTACCTGGAGGTCTTTTTTTAAAAGACCCTCCCTGTTCCCTCAGTTAAAAGCTTCTGTAAGTTTCCTTGGTCACAATGTCTTGTCCCAGCAACAGAACCGTAGCTAAGATGTCCATACTGCTTTTATCTGTATTTTAGTCACTGTCATGCACTTTGGGAGGAATGAGAAGCTGTCCAGTTTTGTTGCTTTGGAATCCTTTCCTTGCTTGACTTTTTAGGGTTAGGTCTGGTTCTTGCTATTTTGCTGGTGTGTGTGTTTTTCTGTGTGCGTGTATGCAAAGTGTGTGTATATGTAAACACGTGTGAGCATAAGTGTCCTATGGTGGCCAGAAGAGGGCATCATACCCCTAAACTAGCGTTTAGGACGGTCTTGAGCTGATGCTGACATAGATGCTAGGATCCAAACTTAGGTCCTCTGGTAGAGCAGCAAGAGCTCTTAACTACTGAGCTGCCTCTCAGCCCTAAGAATCTATGTTCCTCAGAGCTTCTGGGGATGGTCCTGAGATTACGGTGGCTGTATCTTTGACCCCATCCTTACTTTGTCTTTCATCTGTGCTGTAGCCTAAGTTTGCTCCCCCATTCTTTAACATGGTCCCTTCTTGTCATCCCAGATTCTCCTTTGGGATATAAGGCTCCTCCAGAGTCAGTGTTTGAACACTTCTGGCTAGTGGATGCCATTTAGACTGTTACTCAAAGCAACGAGGACCCTCCTTTTCTATAGGTTATTTTATCAGGTCACATGGCTAGTGAATGTGGGATTTGGCGTTGAGTTCTGTGGTGGCTGTGATGATAACTATAACTGTGACTTGATTTAGAATCCTCTGTGGGTGTGTTTATCTGAGAGGGCTTTTCCAGAGAGCGAAGACTTACCTTCAACGTGGGCAGCACCTTTGGAATATACAGAGACATCCCTAGCTCCCACCAATGAAAGGGCTAGGAATGCTGTCAGATAACACCTTGGTTAGCACAGGCTATTCCACTGTGCTTTAGCTGACCACCCAGTGTTCCTGCCAACATACTGCGGGTGTCTTGATGTATAACTTTATTCGTTATAAAGAACCTTCTTGTCACATTGGAACATAGACTTTGGGGTAACCTAGCTGGCATGACATCATGGAGGGATAACTTTCTTAAAGAGTTTTGTGAGCCTTCTTACTTTTCTCTCCCGAGGGGGATATTTAAATTAAAAGGAAATAGCTATGGAACAGCCTGGTAGCAAACACAATTCTAGACCCAAGAAGGCCAGGCTCATCACAGTCTCTAAAGATGTCTTTCGTTATAACCTCTGCCTCGCCTTTCTACCTTGTTTGAGACAAGCCCCTCTTAGTTTTGTCTCTGAGCCTGACAGGGTAGCTGGCCTGTCTGACCTGTCTGGAGATTCTCCTGTGTTACAAATTCTTGCTATATGTCTAGGTTCCACATGAGTTCTAGGATTTGAACTCAGGTCCTTATACCTGTGTGGCAAGTGTTTTAGTCACTAAGCCATCCACCAATCCCTGCATAAGTCTTTTATGTTCATTAAAATGCAAGTTGTGATACACAGGAAAAAGAGGCATGTATGTATGTATTTGGTATGTGTATATGTATGTATTTTTCTCAACCGAGACTACCGTGTGTAGGGACCTGTGCAAACTTGGCTGATGGGGGGAAGGTTGCCAAGGCCTTTCCAGAAGAACTCTGTCCCTCTTTATCCCCTTACCCACTCTGCTTGGTTAGCTTTGAATGATACAGCCTGCTCCAAAACGTCTTTTTGTTTGTTTGGTTGGTTTTTCAAGGCAAAGTTTCTTTGCATAGCCTTGGCTGTTCTGGAACTCAGCTCTAAACTAGGCTGGTCTCTTACTCAGAGATCCTCTTGCCTCTGCTTCCTGAGTGCTGGGATTAAAGGCGTGTGCCACCGCTGACTGGCTCCATCGTCTTT